CACACACACAACACACACACACACCACAACACACACACAACAACACAACACACCACACGATCTATACACACACCACTACACACACACACTTACTACACCGGAACACCACACACAGCCGACACAGCAACACACAACGACACGCGCAGACACACACACATTCACAGCACCCTAACACTGGACTACACACACACACACCACTACACACACACAACACACACACACACGAGCACAACACACGACACGAGACACGACACGACAGCGATCAAAAGGTGAGGCGCGGAGGAAGAGATGTCTCCATCGAGGGCGGTCTGCTGTGTAAAGGTCTACTAAAATATGTGAAACGGTGAGGTCTTAGTGAAGAGAGTTTGAGGGCATTTTAGAAATTAGTGATTGCATTTATGATCAATGGCATGTATCAGTAAGATTTTACTAGTGTAAGAATAGAAGGGATAATAGTTAAAACGCTACCAATTAAGCTAGATTATGGAAAGTGTACATAATACAAAATAAACGTCTTGTTTGTTTATGGCAAAGAAAAAAAAAAAAAAGGGCGTTACATCGGAATTCGCAAACGTGTGACTTTGTACGTTTAGCGTAGGGATTTTGGCACACACACAAACACACACACACACACACACACACACACACACACACACACACACACACACACACACACACACACACACACACACACACACACACACACAATGAATATGCGTATAGTAAAAAGTCGTAGGAAGTAAGATGCCTAAGTGATGTTGTGTAAGGACGTAAAGAGTCCTCAGTGAAGCATGTTGAGATCGTTCGTACCTCCCCACGGCCTGCAGAGAGAAACAGCCGTCCATTCACTCCACAGGCTCTCATTGTCCAGCTCGTCCCGCGCACGGATCTGGACTTCATGGAGGTGACCGGCCACGACGTCCAATATCACCACTGGACTCTGCACGGAGAGAACCTAAAAGATTGAGAAAGAGACAGGACAGGGAATAGTTCTGGGCATTATTATGGGTTCTGAATGAATTGGACGAACACTCACTACATACATTCCAGGGGAATGTAAGGGGGGCCTATTATCGACATGTTCAGGCTCATATTTTATATTGTGTGCCTCTACTGTGACATGTTTACATACTTTAAGCATTTAAGCATATTTTCGCCCTCTGTCTGAAACCAGAGCCCAGTCTGCTGTGATTGGTTAGCTGAGTGTTATATAGTTATATCACCATGTAACAGAACACAACAAAGGGGTGGGAGAGAAACTACTTCTGGCTGGAATGTTTTCCTTTGCAGACCATTTACATGCACTACAACCTATATAACACACAACAGGGCTTTGGGTTTGGACCAATCACAGTGAAGAAAATAAAGATAGTTTCAATTGCTAGTATAATGTGATAAACTACAATTTCATTCCCTTTAATAAAGTATACAATGTACATTTTTGACAGGATGCAAAAGTCATATCAGGATGAACAATACAAACGAGTGCTTACTGACATTTGACCAGTGTAAGGAGCCCTCTGGCCTGTATCTGATATGAAACAGGAGGGGGTAACCAAGGCTCTGCGGCCAGGAGGAGGGAAGCTCCCACGAGATGTTCAACCTCTTTGGAAAGCCTTCTAACTCGTTCACCAACACCGACTGTGGAGGGTTTGGTTTCACTGCAAGGGAAGACAGAAGGTAGGGTGCAGCCGATGGTTGGTTAAAAGGAAGCTAAACAACATACAGGGTTCCTACACTTTTTCACCAATGATTTTCAATGACTTCTCCATGACTTCTCCATGACCTTTACCTCATTTTTCATGACCTAAAAAATTACTCTTTCTCAGCAGTACCACTGAAACATTTTTATTTTAACATGGTAAGCTGGAAAATAAGGTCTGCATATGAAACATGTTGTGCCTATCTAAAACAAATCCAATAGGTGGCTTACTAGCTCCTACAGACTAAAGCCACTGGAGACTAAAATATAAATTATATTTTATGCAACTTTGGTTACATTTCCATGCCTTTTCCAAAATGTAGGGGAAAATATTGTTTTCCATAACTTTTCCAGGGCCTGGAATTTGCATTTTGAATTTCCATGACTTTTCCAGGTTTTTAATGACCGTAGGAACCCTGAACATATCAAGTCAATGAGTCACATGACAGAATGGAACGAAAGTATGAATTAAGTATGAATGATGTATCGTTGCATCTTTGGGAAATGCATAGAGAATCAACCTGAAAATGCACTATGACCTTGTCACCTAGTTTATCATAGAAACGATCCATTCATTCTCTGAATCTTGTCCCACGCGCTCACGTCTCTTGATGTTATAAAGTGCACTCTGACATAAAGTCTGAAGAGGTTGTGAAAATCCTTGGGCATTATTCAATTGGCACACCAGCCGCTATAAAGCCTCAAGGATGCTGTGAATGCCTCTAGAGCAACAAGAACGCGTCACGCACGCAAAACAAGATCATTGAGGTCGTTATATGAGGAACAAAAGGGAAAGGTCACACAACCCATTAGAAAAAGATGTGCAGCAGTAAAGTTGTGTGTGTATGTCTGTGAGTGTTGTATGAATATATATTTCCTAATTGTCATAGTTTGCTTCATCCTTTTTTTAACTATATTTTGAAGGTTCCATTTTGTTGTGTTTTCATGTCTGGCCACCTCTGCCTGACTTTGACAGATGTTTTAAAGAAATACAATTGTTCTAACAAGCATTGCACCTGCTGGAAGTATTTCATGTCTTCACAGCAGCAGCATTGTGCTCAGGGAACCTGAAAAGACTTTGATAAAAGTGATAATGAGGTAAAAAAAGAGCTGCCTGGACCGCAGTGAAGCCAACGCTATTAAACGTCACTAACTACGTAACTGTTGGGTTTCAGCTATTAAGCAAAAAAGATACACGAGAACAACAGAAAATATTCCATGATGGCTCATAGCGTTAGATCCTTAGATTTGTATAGTTTTATGTTGCCCATTGGTTATGAAAGTCAATCGACTCGCATGCCTGAGCTCGATTTTTGTACTGAAGCTACAACGCCAGTGTGTGGCCGTTTCTCAATGCCGAGTACACCTGCTGCAGAGCCACTATTTCAAGTATACTACGTCATCGAGTGGCGCAGAAGGACTGTTTAAATGCATGTTAAATGCCCAGCATTCGGCGCCACTCGATGACGTAGTATACTTGAAATAGTGGCTCTGCAGCAGCTGTACTCGACATTGAGAAACGGCCCTCTATACCCCGCGTTCTTTTTAAACTAAATTCACCAGTAGGTGTAAAATGGGACAACTAAAGACGATTGCAGATGCACATTGAATATCCAGGGACTGGCATTACAGACAGGACTGCTGAACAATTTGGCCGCAGTTTATAACATTGATCATGAAGGTTACCTAAAGGTCCCCTATTAGACTGTTTTCCATCAATATATAATAGGTCTCAGATATATACAAAACATGTCTCTCATCCCATAATCCCCTCTGTTTCAGCCCTGTTTCAAAAATGCTGATTCTCTGTCTGTTACTTTAGATGAAAATAAGGAGCCCCTCCCCACGCCCCTCTGAGAGATATTTGGTTACAAAGACCACAATGGTGCTCTAGGAGGAGATTGAGGTGATAAGGTGGGGGGGGTTACCTTGGTTGGTGATTGGCTAATGGTTACACAAGCCAACAAATCGTTATGACATCATAAAGTGGCCCAAATCTGATCAGCTCATTTTCAGACAGGTTTTGATAGAAATGGATCAGGACAAAAAGAGAGAGAATCTTTTTTCCTGAAACTTTCAGATCTCTTTCCACAGAGGGGACACATGTTTATGTATTAAAGACATGAAGAAGTGGATTTTGCACAATAGGTGACCTTTAAGTGCTTCAGAGATATACAATCGTCATACACATTTCTCATTCAAACGGTGTGTTCAACCCTTACATAGCTTATGTAAACGCATCCGGGCATATGTTGTCTCGGACCCGAGGGCGTTGGTCTCCTGGACGCTCAGGGTTTGTCTGTCGCTCCAGTAGGCAGGATGAACTATATCACAGTGCTTCTGAGAGACGTCCACAATGCATGTCCTCGACTCCTGACCCGTCCTTTAAAACAAAACAGAAACGTTTAAGTGTTGCGCTCTCTTTTTGAAGGACAATTTAAACGTATATAAAAAAAGACCATATCAATCATATATAAATGACTCAAACCTGTGTTACCTTGAATTTAAGAAAAGCTGATGTGTTTGGAAAGTTAGGTTGGGAAATGAAAAGGCTTGAGTTGTGTGTGGGTTTAAAAATGGACGTTTTAAATGATTGTGTTCTTTGTTAAACATGGCTGCAATTTACCTAAATTCATCAACAATAATACCCATTTTTGAACTCCTGAAGACCAGTTTTCTTCAAGAGTTCTTCACAGGGTGAGTAGTTGATGTACCCTTATTTTTTTGGGTGATTTATTTCATTAAGTGTATTCTGGAAACTGCAAAGAAAAAAAATGTATAACTAAGATGTCGCCACAGCTGAATGCTAAATGCAATGCTACTTCAGTTTCTTCAGTCGCAACGTAAAAAAAAGAGATGTAATGTGTTGTGGTTAACATTTTCCACTGAGTGCCACGGCTCGCAGTAAATGCGCTTCATTCAAAATTCAACTCTGTGGCACACGCACTATATTTAGTTAGTTCCTAGTCCATTCTGAGAGTGACCTTGGGCGTTGCTGTGTGACTTGCAGTAACTCACACTTTATAGATGGCGTTGTACTGGGCTGGCAGGAAGGTCTTCACTGATTCCACCCAGGAGCAGCGAACATGCGTGTGATTGGGCACTTGACAGGAAATGTTTAGCGAACCGGGGCGGTCTGGGAAACAGGAATCAAACAGAGTTCATTATCAGGACAGAAAGAGAGTTTTCTGGTGTAATAATTGAAGTATGTCTTGTCTTTAGGTGTAAATCAAAGTGCTCTATGCTCTGGTGTCCCTATCATGAACCAAAATATCTGAGCAGAGGCTTGGACAGCACCATGGAAAACTCTCCGTCCCTCCAAAGGAAGGCCACTTAGGGAAACGCTTCCTGTTTGAGACAGTTACAGGAAGTGGAAGGCTTTGTCTATTTGACGGCTGATAAGACCCGTTTCCTCTGAGGAGCAGTAGCGCTGTTCTGATCATCCCCGTTGAAATAGGATCTAGTAGTAGTAGTAGTAGACGGAAGGCCATCATTTATAAAATGTTTAGAAAAGAAAATATATATATTTTTTTTTTTTAAAAAGGGGGGAATATAGAGATGAAAGACAAACCTAGAGGTTGAGGTGAACTTACAAGAGCTGAAAATGAGGAGAAACAGAGAATTTTTTTCTGCTTTTAGGCTAAAATATTCAAAGTGAACTTTCTTTTTTCCAAAGCTAAGGTTCCATAGTGGGAGACTAAAAGCATAGCAGAGCTGTTAAAAAAGTAATAACTCCTAAATTAGGCGTGGAGAGTCAGGACAAGTCCCAACACAACAACACTTACGGCCCAGCCTGAGTTTGACAGAGTGGAGGAGGAGCCCGCCGTTGTCATAGCAGCTGTAGTTGCCTTGCGCTGATAGGTCGACGTGCAGCAGGACTAAAGTTCCGTCAGATGTGACTTTGTGCCACGGCAACACGGCGCTGTTGTTGTGATGCCAAACCACAGGTGTCCTGGTAGGGAACATAATACACTTATTTCTAACTAGTTTGTATGCTTGTGAGGACTCAGTAACCTGTAAGCCTTGTCATATAAAACACATAAGTCCTTCCTGCGTATCACAAAACTTTTTTTAAACGAAACAGCTAATATTGTATGTATCATAACCAATAACAGACTAAAAGTACAGCCGTTAGTACATTAGTCAATCTAATCAGTAATGAACAAAAATAAAAGACCTATTGCACATTATACCTACCTGTTTTGACTGGCAAATAAAACAAAAATAAATACTCACTTATGTTTGTAGCACTTATAAAGGTCTGGCTAATTCGAAATAAATACAAATCTATTAACAGCTTATGTTAGATTGTTGCTATTTTTAGTGTGTATCTTCATGGTTGACTGCACCTATTATAAATCACTTTGGATACAAATGTTGGCTAAATAGAATGTGATGAAATAAAGAAATCAGACTTTGGCTACACAGGCAATACCCGTTTCAGATTTGCTGAGTTCGACATTGAGATATTTGACTATATTGAGTTTTATTGTGTCTTTAAGTTGGTAGTGGGCCGCCAAAAGACGTGTGGATTTGAAAGCTGTGATTTCTTTGAATAAACCAGCTGTGACTACATTGGGTCTTCATTGAGTCAGAGCTTGTATTTACTCCTAAGTGACCTTAGGACAATGTACTTTTGATAAACTGCCAATACAACTTCTATTTTACGTGTACCATCTTATTTGTGTTTTACTTTATTTAAAAAGATATGCTCCATTGGCTCTCTCTCAAATCTGATCATGTACCCTTATTGCACCTGATTTACAGTAGCAATGCAGGCACTGTTTAACCCTTTGTATTACAATAATGTATATTCTTTGCCTTGAAAACAAAAACATTGACTTTCAGGCCACCTACAAAATGGAGGAGTTGTTCAGTTATCTTAAGGAAGGTAAGTAAAGCTATATGCAGCATTGAGTATATGAATGCATCAGGATGGCTTTAGAATGCATTCTATTCATTTGTCTTCAATGGATACCACTGCAACTTTTATGATAAACGTGTTATTGTGATTACTGGAATGTCAAAAAATGTGCTGCTTTTTTCCAACAAAATGCTGTCCTGACTGGCGGAGCTACCCAGTTTCTTTTTTTAGCTAATAGAAGAAAACCTTTGAACTCCCACATGACTGTGCCGGAAAAATGTCTTTGTCATTAGAAGACAAAGAAACCCAACTCTAATTCAAACAAGGAAATAGTTCTCTTTCTTACCTGATTTGTGACTTCCTGCATGCCAGTGTCACATTCGACTCCAAGAGTGCATACTGAACGCCTAACACTGTAAACAAAGACATCACATAAAATATTAAAGCCCGCGTTCGTCTGGCTTACAGCATGTGCACACTGCAAAATCGGACATACCATGTGTCTGCATTGACTCTATCAATGTGAGTTACAGTAAGAGACAGAAGCACAATAACATGACCGTACAAGGTTTAGGATCCTGAGGACTGAGGAGGCTTTGGCACACAGCATGAAGAGTCTCCAGTGTTTTCTTTTTCTGGAAATGTTTCTTATCACTAGTAAAATAATATTACTCAGCAATGAGTTAAGTTAATAGTGCTGAAGACACCATATGTATCATGATTTAATATATTGAGGTATATTGTGATTCTGTAAGCATGGCGATCTATTGCGTTTTTTTAAAATATTTTTTTAGAAAAACTGACATGGTATAAAGAACACATCATTTTAGGCATAAAACGTTTTCATTCAAACATATGACAAAGAACGTTAAGTATTGACTGAGTTCATCCTGGCTGTTATTACAATTTAAAGTTGATTAAGTGTTTTTGAGAAACCATTACAAGACCTCAAAAAACGAAATATTGCGATTCAATAGATGTTTTCTAACACTCCAAAGAAATTGATTAGCCTGTGGATCTGGAAGCAGTTTGCTATTTTTTGACACAGCATACAAATGTTCACCTTTTTAATGATGTCTACACTGTATAGCCATGCAAACAGCTTTGGTTTCATGTGTTGCGGTAGAAAAATATCCATCTCTGGGTTTTCTGTCTCCACCCTTATATGATGTGGGTGAGTAGAATTTAGTTTATGGTGTTCACAAAATATAATTTAGCAATTTCAACGGGGACTATGTCATGATTTCGCACCACACCTATAGCTACATTGCTACTCACACTTGTAACTGGAACTATATTAGCAGCAAAGTAATCTAAAGTAAGTATCCAATAATGTGAAATCAGAGGCAATGTAAGGTCAGTTAGGCACAGGGAGCGCTTGATTTATTTGATACAACATCCATTTGTACCAAAAGGATGATTTAGAAGCTGCTAAAGTGTAAACTTGACATCATGCAAATTGGAAGGTAGTGTTGATGAGCTGCAATACTAAGTGCAGTGTATACCTGAGCAAATATTTGCGGTGACTGAAGTAATTTGCCAGGTTGATACTCTATCTGCAGCGTGCGTGTTTGTGTGTGTGTGTGTGTGTGTGTGTGTGTGTGTGTGTGTGTGTGTGTTTAGCTTGGCTCCATAATATGAAAGCTGGCATTTACAGTAGATGCGGAGTGGAAAAACATCACTTCGACTGCCAGTCTGCCACGCACACACCTTCGTTAATTCTCAACCTCAATCACTCAGGCATGCTCACTCCCTGCTGGCCTCTGCTCCTTAAGTAACAAACAATTTGTCCCGCGTTTGAGTTTTGTTTTTCTTCTTAATCTTTAAAAAACAAATGTATGTTTAGGTCCCAAGTTTAACTGGCATTGAATCGCGAAGGATACAACCCAAATCATTCATTTGGTTCTAAAAAGGTAGTTTCTGGTCACTTCGCACCAGACACGTGAAGCTTTTTGGAGATGTTGTTTTTTAATTTGCTGTATTGGTATATCTATGTTAGTTTTCCATATTGAAATAACCTCATGTGCCCTTCAGGGACCAACTAAGTTCATCTTAAATTAAATGTTACACATTCTCAAGTTGGAGGTTGCACTGAAGGCCTTTTCAATACTTGGATTTCACTCACACCTAGCTTGCTTTTCTTCTGTTATTTTAGTGGCTGCGCAAAATGAAACAGCTGGGGAAAGAGCAGCGAAGTGCTCCACTTTGATTTTGTGGCTACATTCGTGTGTTTCAGTGGAGGAGACGCAAACAAAGGAGGACAATGAAAGCTACTGAGAGTTTTTTGTTTTATTAAGCAAATGAAAGCCTGTTCCTTCTGCTGCGGTGTGTACGGGAAACAATTTGTCATATGTAACACGAGGCATGGTTAATAAAACTGAGCTACTAAGACAGCGGTTATTTTCTGGCAACAGAGTTTTGGATTGCTCATTTTGCCAATCGAGATACACCAAGCAAGCTGTCATTTATCCGATCTTTCACCAGAGCAGGACATGGTTTCTCTCCCTCCGCTCTGCCAGTAAATGTGGGGCGGGCAGTAAGATGCCTTCGTCCAAACTGGTTCATATATATGTATGTAAACCAATTTATTAACATTATTTTATATAGATAATAAATATATATACTAGGCAAATGTAAACAGTATAACGTAATATTTCGTCAGGCATGAACATACCATTAGATTTTCCATTAAATGTAAGTAAAATTGTTTTTGTATTATATCTCAAATGTATCTTAAGAAGAAAGGAAATCAGAATCTGACAAAATCTCTATCTATCTATCTCTATCTCGATCTATAGTTTACCAGTAAAAATGCACATTAGCCGCTAAACCTTTTCTGTTGTTTGTTTAGAAGACACTGTTGTTCATGGCCCTTGCAGTTTGGCAACTGTGCTTTGAAATAGCAAGTTTAACAACTTTTTGCAGTGTTCTCACAACGAGGCAACAACAGAAGGTCAAAGTTCAAAATAAAGGAATTCCTCCTTAAATGTAAAATAAAATATAATCTTCCTCTGTCTCTGTTTTTATTGTTTCTCCCTGTATCAATCTTTCCATCCTTCTCAGTTTCAACCAGCTTTTCTTTACACACACACACCTTGGTGCAGTGCAAATGGTTGGCTGGTCTGAATGTGTGTATTCATGTTTTATTGGCAGCGAAGTACATTATTCCCCAAACCCACAGCGTTCCACTCATATCTGATTCTGCCTCTGGCAACACGGCCCGGCCCAGACACACGCAAGCACACACACACACACACACACAAAACCACACACTTATATTCACACAGGAAGGCTGCAAAGTTTCTCGTGACATTGAGAACCGAAGGCAGGGTGGACCCAGAAAGTGCAAGCTGGATGAAACTCAGTACTTTCTAAACAATAAAAAAGGAACCTGGAGCCCCAGTAGGGTACAATTAATGGGAAGGGAAAATTCTGAAATGTTTAACCTAAGGGGCCAAGGGTGACTGTCCTCATTGTTACCGTGATATAAAGAGATGCAGTAATGAAGAGCGTTTAATACAAAGAGGGAAATACAGTCTTCAGAGAGAGAGAAATAAAAAAAGATTTCTTAATGCCAAACAGATCCCTCAAGAGCTTTGTGAAAAAAAAGATTCTTCTAACAATAGGATTATTGTTTGCAGAGTAAAAGGTTTACATTTAAATTGGACAGAGAAAGAACCGTGAAAACAAACAACAATGTGTGTAAACAAAAAATCATCTTGGATTTATGAGATTTTAGAGGCGTTTCCTCCCTCCTTTCTTCAGCAGTAGCTTTAGGTCCCACAAGTACTTTGAGTTAAGATAAGTGCCCAAAATAGTTCCCCAAAGGAATCCGTGCCTGATTCTTAACAGCATGTGTGTTTCTCTATGTGTTTTAAATCTGTCCTTGGGAAAATGGCGTTCTGCTTGGTGTGCATGCATTACCTTCATCAGGATGGATCTGAGCACGAATGGGATGCAGCGACCAAGATAAAAACCAGATGACTGTCAGACACACAGGGCTGGACAAAAGGCCTGGCATCTAGAGGGAGAAAGAAAGAGGGAGGAAAGGGGGAGGTAATGATTAGGAGTTATTTTCAAGCCTAAAAGGTTTGGCAGTAAGCATCTACAACATCATCATTATCATCATTTGGAGCACATTTTGTACAAGTAAATGGGTACGGAAAGAACCAATGCTTGGGAAAACAGAAAGAAATGTCTCCTTTCTTTTGATCAATTTGTCCAGAAATACACAGCAATGTTAAAATAGTTTGGTAACAAGTTGCAGTTTATCATTTCACAAATCTGTCTGACTGTTCCTTATCATTGCAAATTATATTTCACATAAAGTCGAAATAAAATGCAAAGACAATGGTGTAGACAACTGGTCGCCCATATTTTTCGCCACTGACATCGTAAGTGGAAGTCTTTCTCAAAATTAAGAACACATTCAGAAGGAGATGATGTTGGAAAGGATGTTCTGTTTCCACTGGCTTTACTCTACCCTGACATTCTGGGAAATGTAAAGTTTTGGTTATATTTGGGCTGGAGAACCGATCCAGTTTTAGCTTTGTACCATAAATCAAATCTCAACACGACTTCTATTTAATTTAACCAAGATGTGCAGACTGCAAAATAATGTGCCTTTAGAATAGATAAAAGTGTAGTTTGTTCAAATGTATTTGATAGTATGGTTGTAAGCAGGACATCTGTCATCATACATGTTATAGACCTTATCTAAATTCAATAACATTTAAAGGGGCCCTATTTTGTTCATTATCAGGTTCATATGTGTATTTGTTGCCCTTACTATGACGCTGTTTCCATGCTTTAATGTTAAAAATGTTTTTCAGTTGTCTCTTACTGCCTGTGCTGCAGCACCTCTTTTCACCCTCTGTCTGAAACCAGAGCCCAGTCTGCTCTGATTGGTTAACTGGCCGGCTCTGCTGTGATCCATCCACAACTTAAAGATATGTCGGAAATGTCCGGCCCCTTAGCTTATCACGTACAGTGTGATAAAGCACAAGCCAATAGACGCGTAAGAGTAACATAGTGAGGTCATTAAGATACTGAAGTTAACAAAGAAGTCCAATGGAGGCGTTTCAGGCAGGGGGGAAGTGTGTGGGAGAGAAACTCCCACTGGAGAGAACTTTTAAGCCTTTGCACACCATTAACATGCAGAAAAGCCTATACAACACAAACAAATTGGAAAGAACAGGAAATGCACTATACAACTGCTTGAATTCATGCACACAATGTTCAAATATTGCTTACTGCACAAATTTCATATTTTATATAATTCACTGTATTCTATTTCGCTGTAAAGTACTGCTTTATTTTATTGCTATCTAACTATATATTTGTTACAGTGTTCTTAATATAGTTCGCTATCTGTGTACTTTAAAAAAAATATATATATTTTATGTATGCACCACATCAAGTCAAATTCCTCGTACGTGTGAACCTACCTGGCAATAAACCACCCGTTTCTGATTCTTTACGCAATTACATAAAAAATGAACAGATTTGACTGGCTATATGTATTTCTATTTATAAACATATAAGTAAACAGAGAAACAAGGCATTTTTACGGATATGACACAAAAAGGAAAGGCAGACATCATGAAATAGTTCAAATACACTGAACAAAAATATAAATGCAACACTTTTGTTTTTGCTCCCATTTTCATGAGATGAACTCAAAGATCTAAAACATGTTCTATATACACAAAATAACCATTTCTCTCAAATATTGTTCACAAATCTGAAAACATCTGTGATAGTGAGCACTTCTCCTTTGCCGAGATAATCCATCCCACCTCACAGGTGTGGCATATCAAGATGCTGATTAGACAGCATGGTACCTGTGTGCCTTAGGCTGGCCACAATAAAAGGCCACTCTGAAACGTGCAGTTTTGCTTTATTGGGGGGGTCTGGGGGGTCCGAAAACCCTAGGGTTAAACCCTAACCCTAACATGTCACCCATTGAGCATGTTTGGGATGCTCTGGATCGGTGTATACGACAGCGTGTTCCAGTTCCTGCCAATATCCAGCAACTTCGCACAGCCATTGAAGAGGAGTGGACCAACATTCCACAGGCCACAATCAACAACCTGATCAACTCTATGCGAAGGAGATGTGTTGCACTGCGTGAGGCAAATGGTGGTCACACCAGATATTGACTGGTTTTTGGACCCCCCCAGACCCTGAGGCTGTGCGAAGTTGCTGGATATTGGCAGGAACTGGAACACGCTGTCGTATACGCCGATCCAGAGCATCCCAAACATGCTCAATGGGTGACATGTTAGGGTTAGGGTTAGGGTTTAACCCTAGGGTTTTCGGACCCCCCCAGACCCCCCCAATAAAGCAAAACTGCACGTTTCAGAGTGGCCTTTTATTGTGGCCAGCCTAAGGCACACCTGTGCAATAATCATGCTGTCTAATCAGCATCTTGATATGCCACACCTGTGAGGTGGGATGGATTATCTCGGCAAAGGAGAAGTGCTCACTATCACAGATTTTTTCAGATTTGTGAACAATATTTGAGAGAAATGGTTATTTTGTGTATATCGAAAACGTTTTAGATCTTTGAGTTCATCTCATGAAAAATGGGAGCAAAAACAAAAGTGTTGCATTTATATTTTTGTTCCGTGTACATCAGACATTTCTTCCTGAGTGCAGGATACAGTATGTTTGCTATAGCAGAAACATGGTGACCATGGAGTTATGGACGTATGATGTGATGCTGCTGATATTTTTATCTCCATGGGACATTCACATCAGACATTGTGTGTGTGTGTGTGTGAATGTGACAAAGTGTGAAAGACAATGTGGTGGATGTGTTTGTGAGCTGCTAAAGCCCAAAGTCACAAAAACAAACACGCTTATCTTATCTGTGGTGCCCCTTCTCTTTATAGAGCAGCATGTGATAAACACATCAACACTTTTAATGGCACCTCCACAGCGAGAGTGGGAGATTAAAGGCCCATAAGAGGCTTTTGTTACGTCTTTAGTGAGGTCCTTTTCCTGTTCAAATAGGACGTTATGTCATAAAACGGTGACTGACTGAGTGACTTTCTAGTCATTTATGGGACACATAAATATAGAGAAATCGATATGACCGAAAGCCCTAATAGCAATCACATGGTACCAATAGATTGTCAATAACTTTTCATAATTAATAATAGTTATACAAATATTTACAAAGTTTCTGAAGCACCATTTTTTTAAAAATTAAAATATGTGATTGCAGCAACTGTCAAATGATGCATGATGGATTGGGGATTTGAAAAAAAATGACTCTATTAACAGTGACAGAGAAAGACAGAAAAGACTGGAAAAAGGTCAATTACAAAAAGAAGAAGGAAAGAACATTTAAAAGGTGTGTGTTGTTATGTTACTCCATTTCAAAGTGTGTGTTGGTAACGCTGAAAGCAAGGTGTTCAGCAGCATTGAAAAAATAGTGTCTAATAGCGGTGTTGCTCTCAGACGGTGTATTATTCTGCTTCGCGTGTTGAACGGTTCAATGTCGTGTCTTTAAGAAACGGGACATTTTCTGTGGGTTGAATCTGGTGACAGCAACGAGAACTCACTGCTTTTATTTCTCTCAATGTCAAACAGCGTTCTGCACCACAAAGAGAAAAAGGTGAATCACAGTGTCGTTACCTTAGACTTTCTTTCATATATTCAGTCAGTGTGGCTCATCAAACATCAAGTGTTGAACGACTTACGTATATTCTGAAACTGAAAAGGTGGATGCATCGAAGAGGCTTTTGGGCTGCATTCGCATTGAGGTGATTAACGCATGGTGGAGGTGTGGAAAAAGTTCAGTCTGTTTTCTCTGGTATTCTCCACGCCCAAATGGAGAGGAGGATTGCCGGTTTCTCCGCAATTCTCCCTATTGTGGTGTTACTACAACACATTGATTCAATTTCATTTAAAATCTGGAAACGATCAACATCTTCTGAAGATAGTTTGCCTAATTTAAGTATTTATGCTGTTAGATTTAAACGGAAAATCAACACATTGTGATAGTAGTTGTAGTTTCTTTGAACATAATAAAAAAAAATAAAAAAAATAATAGACTTTATAAATGCCATGGATAAATTCCCTTTTAATGATAAACACATAGTACGTCACAAACGTATGTATTAACTAAGAGGTGTCAGAGGGAAGGGGCTGCCATAGTGTGGCGGGCTGGAGCAGTTTGGGGGTCTGTCCAGACAATGCATATTTTTGGGGGACTTGACCATCTGATGATGATCTGGTTCCCGAGTTAAGCCCAAACAGACTGCCTGCCCCGTGTATGTCTGCCCATGTTGCATCACATTGACTTTTTAAAGTTGAAGCACAATTTGCATGGAAAATGCAAAATGTGCTGACAGAAAATGATTTTATAGACATTTTTGGAGACCCTTTGGCACTAGGGGTGTATGGAGCAGCAGATCAAAACCAAAACTCCAAAGACTGACAGCAAGTCATGCAGCACATTACTGCACTTTGAGGATTTATGGCGTCTCTGGTGGTCAGAGAGAGTCTCAAAGAAAAGTTGGCTGTGAGTTTCATTAGCTGAGGTTGCAACTGGACCTCAGAAATATGATAAGTCATAAATAGTGAAAGACAGCTAGAAACAAAATAATGGAACAAATATGTGTTTCACCACAATATGATGGAGGACATGTCAAATAAACAAATATGTTTATCCTGAGGTGTTGCTTTTAAATTGTACTTGCTTTGAAAACAAGAAATTGTTAAAATAAATGAAGTCAAGCATGAGAAAAAAACGTTGTCTCTGTCTCAAATCATTGTTACATTCTGAATGCTGTGGGAAAGTTCTACATTTTTAATGTCTATCAAATGCAGTTTTTTAAGACCATGACAGATTGCTTCCTTGACAGTTGTGTGTGTGATACTGGGCTGCACAAATAAACTGGACTTCAAAGATTGATGAAGATGATTAGCTTTGGCAGTGAAATGAAACCTGCGACCACAAGAGGCCAAACAGATCATCTTTGTTTAAACCGTAGCGTAAATATCATCAAC